CATCTCCTATGCCAGTGCTCCTTTCTCCCAATCCTTTACTGTCCTCGAACACATACATGCTGTTCGAGTGTGGCGATACACTATGTAATGGTGGAGATACATTTTTGGATACAGAATACCTACAAATGAGGTAATTTAAAAATAGAATTTGAAGTTTGTTGGTTTGGCACAAGTTTTAAGCACCACACTGTTGTTTTTGGTGCTTCCGATTGTCATTTTACATTTCTAGTTTTGAACTGTTGGGACATCTGAAATTAATTTGAAACATTTCAGACTGTTTTGAACCAGTCTATATCATTCTAAACAAGTAAGAACAATTTTATAGATAACTGTAGTTATCAAACTAATTTCCAGCAGTTTAATAGAGTTTGAGCAAGTGTGACTCAATTGAAAGTAGATTTAATTTGTCAGCAGAGTTTGATCCAGTAAAATATACTCAGAACCAACTAAAACTTATAGGAGCCTGTCAGAACCTGCATGTCCAAGTCAGAGCCTATTTGAGCTAGCTAAAACCAGTCTGAAGCAATTAAAGCTAATTATAATGAGACTCCAATAATTTTGGTTAGATATATCAGGTTTTAGCCAGAGTCAGAAAGTAGTTTTGTAGGAGAACCTCTTTTAACTCACCCTAAAATAATATGAACAAGATTCTTTTGAACAACTATGAACTTGCTGAAATGGATGGGTGTATTTTATATGGATTTGAACCTGTTTTAAAGTTGATCAGGACTCTTTTGAAATAAACATATCTTTATTAAATGAATTGCAAATGGTTAGAACCAGCTAAAAAAGATCAGAATTAGTTTGAAAGTGATCTTTGTGGCCGGGCGCGGTGGCTCAAGCCTGTAATCCCAGCACTTTGGGAGGCCGAGACGGGCGGATCACGAGGTCAGGAGATCGAGACCATCCTGGCTAATACGGTGAAATCCCGTCTCTACTAAAAATACAAAAAACTAGCCGGGTGAGGTGGCGGGCGCCTGTGGTCCCAGCTACTCGGGAGGCTGAGGCAGGAGAATGGCGCGAACCCGGGAGGCGGAGCTTGCAGTGAGCTGAGGTCCGGCCACTGCACTCCAGCCCGGCGACAGAGCGAGACTCCGTCTCAAAAAAAAAAAAAAAAAAAAAAAAAAAAAGAAAGTGATCTTTGTTAACTCAGCCGACCACTTTGAACCAGTGAGCAATACTTTGTGCTAGAAAACATATTTTAAGCTGGCCAGAGTCAATTTGAAAATTGTTCTAGGTCTTCAGACTCAGTCTGAATGTCCACAATGGAGACAATAAGTGAGCTAACAGTTAAGTACCCAGTATATGCCAACCATTGTGCTGGGCATTCCATAAACGGTATCTCATTGAATCCTCAGAACAATGGTGTGAGGTGTAGTATGTATTCTTTTTTATAGAACAGAAACCTGGAAATCTAAGGCTCAGAGACATCCAAGTAATTGGTATCTGGGAGATTTGGGATTTCAAACCCAGCTCTGCTTGATTTTATGAGTTTCCTATTAGGTTACCTTGTAAAATACCATACTAGTGGTCACTTTAAAGCCCAATATTGCATTTGTAACAAAAATGAGTAACGGACATGAAGCTTGGGGTAGAACAGACATTGGACTTGGAACTAGGAGATCTAGATTCCAGATTGTGCAAATCAGTCTGCTTCTCTGGGTTCTGTTTTATCCTTTAGAAAACTGAACCCAGAGAGTGGAAGGTCTGAACATTTATTTTCAGATCAAGAAAGCAGATAATTGTCTTAAAGATACAATCTGAAAAGTGCAAACTATGATTAATATTGATGGTGGTATCTATACTTTCAGTTTGCGGTATTTGGTTTGTTAATAGTCCCTTTATGATTACTTGGCCACTATTGCTATTGCGAATAGAAAACAAAACTCATGAAGATCACTTGTAGACTTACATGTGTGATTATCCATGGAAATGAAACACATTAAAGATAGTTTAAGTCTTTGAATTCCACTTAAGTGGGTTTAGAGAATTCTAGAATATGATGCCATTAGTGACAGCATTTTTTCATGTACCTTAAGTGATATAAAAAACATAGTTATATCAACTTTTTTTTTCAAATTAAAAATAAAGAGGAAATAAGGTAGCCACAGTGTCTTCTTGCATCATTCTCACTGCAGGATCGGTATTGTTTTCTGCTGCTCCATTCAGTTTGAGGGGAAGTCCCCAAATGAGTCAACATTATCTGGACTTGCTTTTCAATTCTTAGCTCTTATTTCCAATAACTTAGAGCCAGGTGTGATGCTGTGATGTGACATGCCATAATGTTGACGTCCAAGTTGTCGGTTTTTGGAGAGGAATTCTGTTATATGTCATTAATACTGGTGACCTACACTTGCAAATACCCAACTATAAAGATAGGTAAGGCATCATCTGTGAAGTGTCACTCTTTATGGTGTGCAAATAGAATTTTGAATGTTTGTAGAGGCTCTGCCCTTATCCACGGGCTGACCATACCTGAAACGTGAGGTTGCAGATCTGCACTGAAGCACTCTGAGGAAACACCCTGCAGTGGCTCTTGGGGCTCAGCATTCAGGAGTTTTCAGCATAAGGTGAGTCACCAAGTTGAGGATAGGGTAAGGGAGGCAACATTGAAAACCAGTCAGTATTCTTGTCTGAGTTTTTATTAATTTTATGGATACATAGAAATAGTCCTATAGGAAGCACTGAGTATGGCAGCCAAGTTTCTGGATATGGGGCTGGGTAAAAAGGATATAATGCCAGGACTCAGTAGCATCTAATGCAGGACATCTGGCATGTATATAGATAGATAAATATGTATGTTTTTGAATAGTCATGTAGAGTTGTCAGTGTTAATGAGATAGTTATTTTTATGATTTTTCAGGAGAGTTTGTTGGCATTGGGGAGAATGGAGAGAGGTTGGTTAATGTGTACAAGCATACGGTTAGATGGAAATAATAAGTTCTAATGTTCAACAGTAGACTAGGGTGACTATAGTTAACAAAAATGTATTGTGTATTTCAAAATAGCTAGAAGAGAGTACTTGAAATGTTCTCAATGCATAGAAATGATAAATACTCGAGGTAATAAATACCCTAAATACCTTGATCATTACATTCTGTGCATGTAACATTGTGTTGATGTGATCATTACATTCTATGCATGTAACAAAATATTACATGTACCCCATAAAAATGTACAAATATTATGTATCAATAAAATTTTAATAAAAAAGTAAACCTTCCCTGGAGAGAGATCCCATTTCTAGTTGGACTGATATTTTGGTTTTGAATCTATTTAGAGGGTAAAAACAAATCATGAAAAGTACTGATTGCAAAGAACTAAAAAATAGCCATGGTTAGGTATTGCTGATATAAATGAATTTTTCTTCCTTAAGGTAGACTTTTGTTTTAGTCAGTATTGAAGAGCTGAATTTTTAGCAGTTCTTGATAGAATACCCAGGTAAATATAGGTAAGCGAGCCCTTGGTTGTGGGACTATGGTCTCTGAGCAGTGACTGTTTAAATCTGGAACTCAGTTCCCAAGTGAGCAGTGATATTCCAAAGAAGTCTGACATAACATGTAGTACATATTAATAGTAATATGTAAGGAAGCAGGGAGTAAATTTACTTGTGAAATAACAGTGTCTTTGAAGGAACTGTAATAACATGTGAAAATGAATAGAATAAATGAAATTGCCTAGATGTCCATGTAAAAAGAGAGAAAAGGCAAGGTTCTAGCACTAGGAGACTTTGTTTCTTTCTTTTTTAAAATTTCCATAGGTTTTTGGGGGAACAGGTGGTGTTTGGTTACATGAGTAAGTTCTTTAGTGGTGATTTCTGAGATTTTGAAGGACCCATCGCCCAAGCAGTGTACACTGTATTCAATCTGTAGTCTTTTATCCCTCACCCCCCTCCCACTCTTTCCAACGAGTCCCCAAAGTCCATTGTATCATTCTTATGCCTTTACATCCTCATTGCTTCACTCTCATTTATGAGTGAGAACATATGATGTTTGGTTTTCCATTCCTGAGTTACTTCACTTAGAATAATGGTCTTCAATTTCATCCAGATTTCTGTGAATGCCATCATTTCATTCCTTTTTGTGGCTGAGTAGTGTTCCATGGTGTGTGTGTGTATATGTGTGTGTATATATGTGTGTGTGTGTGCATATATATCTCTGTGTGTGTGTGTATATACATATATATATATCTCACAATTTCTTTTTCTGCTCATTGATTGGTGAGCATTTGGACTGGTTCCTTATTTTTGCAATTGCAAATTGTAGCACTAGGAGACTTTGAAAAAGGAGGGGAAATTGGAACCACTTGTACTCTAACAATTACTGTTATTCCTTGTAACATTCTCCTTCCTCTATTTTTCTTGTATTAGTTTTTATTCTATATAGTCTGCAGATAAGACTTAGTGACTGTTACTTTCTTGTTGATTATCATTCTCACTTGAAATTTTTGTCCTATTTTGATACTATAATATGTATGTTTTTATTTTGATTTTTATTTATTTTTTTATTTTGAGACGGAGTTTCGCTCTTGTTGCCCAGGCTGGAGTGCAATGGCGCAATCTTGGCTCACCACAACCTCCACCTCCCAGGTTCAAGCGATTCTCCTGCTTCAGCCTCCCGAGTAGCTGGGATTATAGGGATGCACCACCACGCCGGGCTAATTTTTGTATTTTGTAGAGATGGGGTTTCTCCATGTTGGTCAGGCTGGTGTCGAACTCCCGACTTTCGGTGATCCGCCTGCCTTGGCCTCCCAAAGTGCTGGGATTACATATATGTTAAATTAAAACTACACTGTTAATTACTATTTCAATAGCTTCTCATCTAGCTAGTTATTGGGTCTTCAAGGATGGTGACCAATATGTATGTAACCCTCTTTTCATACAACCCGTAGACATACAGGTTAACATTAGGTGTTAAGCTGAATATTGTCATCATTTTTTAAATGGATAATTAATGTTTTCTAATGGATTTTAATTAAAAAAATTTGTGTGTATTTTACAGGTGAACCACTGAGTTCTTCATTATGTCTGATGGAGATTATGATTACCTCATCAAGTTTTTAGCTTTGGGAGACTCTGGCGTAGGGAAGACCAGTGTACTTTACCAATATACAGATGGTAAATTTAACTCCAAATTTATCACAACAGTGGGCATTGATTTCAGGGAAAAGAGAGTGGTAAGTTCTGTATCCTTCTGTGTAAAAATGTAATCTTTGAGTCAACATTTGCTGGTCTGTTTAGTTTACTTTGTAGGAATTAGGAGGACAAAGGTCGGGATCTGAAATTAAAAGGTACGTAGGAAAGTGAGTTATATTCAATCCAGGCAACATGATTGAAAAGGTTGTGCTGACAACATTTCATATAAAACCAGGCAGACAAAGTGGAAGTAGACAGTTCTTTAAAATGTCACCTTGGTACTCTTTTGGCTTGTGTCTTCTCTTCTGGACTCCAATAGTTATTTGTCTACCTTTGTCTTGAAGCCTGCCAGCCACTTTGCCCCTCATACTCTTGTTTTATGGGCTGTATCTTCCACCTTTGGTATCTTATTATTTTTAATGGCATTTCTCCTAATAAAATCTCAGCAATTCTGCATGGAATACTAACTGGCAGAACTCATCACTGCTGCCAGGAGGGTGAGGTTGGAGTAGGAATGGGGAATGCCAGTAGTGAATGTGATGTTCTGCAGAATGTTAAAGAGAGAAGCTTTTATTTACTTATTTTTTTAAGGACTTTAAGACTGAAAGTTATTTTAGTGTTGGAGGGGAAGGCAGAAGGTCATTGTGTCACAGTTGCAGATGAGGAAAGATGGCCTTCTCCTTAGATTACATTTGTTGCTGAAAAATCCATTGTTAGCATGAAGCAGGTAAACAAGTGGTCAGGAAATTAATGACAAAGGTCCTTTAATGGATCACATTCTGTCAGGGGGGAAAGGTCCCTGGCTTTTAGGACAGAAGAACGTTCTCTTTTGCCCATTCTAGGTCTTTTATTCTACTACCAGAGAGTCTTATAGAGATTAAGACCCACTGAATAACAATAGGGCCCTAATGAAATTTTTAGTATTGACGTATAGTTGATAGAATCCGTATATATGTATGTGATTATTTTTGTTGGTTACTTATTTTATAACTTAAAAAATAGATTTGTTGAGATATAATTCACAAGAAAAGGAAATCCATCCATCTAAAGTATAAAAATTGAGTGGTTTTTAGTATATTTGGAGTTGTGTGGCTATCACAGCCATTGAATTTTGGAATAGTTTCATACCTCATACCTATTAGCAGACATTCCTCTTTCTACCTCCCCTTAGCCACCAGGAATTTTCTATCTGGCTTCTGCACACGTCATATAAATGGAATAATATATGGCCTTTTGTGTCTGGCGTCTTACACTTAGCCTGATGTTTCCAAGGATCTTCCATGTTGTAGCGTGTATCAGGACTTCATTACTTATGATGGCTACATAATACTCTTTTTGTATTGATACACCATTTTGTTTATCCATTTGTCTGTTGATAGATATTGTATTCTTTTTCTATTTTCTAGTGTATCATTTTAATTCGTTTTTTAAATTATATATTTTTGAGTTCTTTTTTAATAGTTCCTTTGGGGATTACAATTATTTTAATTTTTCACAATCTAATTTTGATTAATAGCAACTTAATTTTAATACTGTGTAAAACTTTGCTCTTATATGGCTTTGTTTTCTCCCCTTGTTTTGTGCCATTATTGCTATACAAATGACATCTTGCTACATCGTGTGCCCATCATCAACACAGCTTTACAATTATTGCTGTATGCAGTTAATTTTTCTTTTCTTATCTTATCTTTTTTTTTTTTTGAGACAGGGTCTTTGTTGCTCAGGCTGGAGTGCAGTGGTGAGATCTCGGCTCACTGCAACCTCTGCCTCCCAGGTTCAAGCAATTCTCCTGCCTCAGTCTCCCAAGTAGCTAGGATTACAGGCACTCGCCACCATGCCCAGCTAATTTTTTATGTTTTTAGTAGTGCTGAGATTTTGCCATGTTGGCCAGGCTGGTCTTGAACTCCTGGCCTCCAGTGATCTACCCATCTTAGCCTCCCAAAGTGCTGGGGGATGACAGGCGTGAGCCATCACTCCCAGCCTGCAGTTAAATTTTAATCTGGTGGAGGAAAAGGGCGACAAAGAAAAAAACGTTTATACTGTTTTTTATATTTACCATGCAGTTACATTTTTACTGGCGCTCATTATTTCTTTGTGTGGATTTAAGTTGCTGTCTAGTGTCCTCTCAGCTCAGTCTTGAGAGTTGTCTTTAGTATTTCTTGTAGGGCAGGTCTGCTAGAGATGACTTTTCTCGGTTTTGTCTTAATTTATCTTTTAATTTTAGAGGACAGCTATGTTACTGATTTTTAAGTTCTTTGAATATATTTATAATTCCTGATGTAAAGTCTTTGTCTGATAAGTTTAACATCTGGGCCTTCTCAGGAATAATTTCTATTAGTTGCTCTTTTCCTGTGCGTGAGCCATCCTTTCCTGTTTGTGTGTCTTACAAGTTTTGCTGAAAACTGGACATTTAAAATAATGTGTCTATTCTAGGATTCTTTCCCCTACCTGGGTTTCTTGTTTTTACTGCATATTTATTTGTTTTTGTTGTTGCTGTTTGTTTGATAATGTTTCTAGGATAATTCTGCAAAATCTGTATTCTTTGTAGGCAGCTACTGAAGTCTCTGCTCAATGAACTTAGTGGACAGCTAATGAGTGGACGAAGTTTATTAAATTCCTTGAACCAATAAGTCTCTTAGCTTTTTCTGAGAGTCTCTGTGTGTTTGTTGGGGTATGTGTTTAATACGACTGCAGGCAGTTTACAACTCTGCCTTAGCTTTTATTTTCTGCCTGAGAAGAACCTCAAAGTCAGTCAGAAGTGAGAGATTAGGACCTTTTTAGATCTTTCCTGGGCATTTATAGAGCCCTGCCCATGAACATGGCCTTATAGCTTCCAAGAAATATTTGGGAGCATTATAGAAATCTCATTTTCTGTTTTTAAATTTTGTTGTTGTTGTTGTTGTTGTTGTTGTTAGAATTTTGTTAGCCCTAACTGGTATTGCTACCTCTGGTAGCTGTGATGTTAAATAAATTACTGCTAATAGTTTTCAACAAATGCCCTCGGGGATAGGGCTGTTCTCAAAGAGCAAGCTTTGAGTGAGGTCAAATAAAAACAAAGCTGGGGCATGGAGCTTTCCAAGGGGCTTCCTGACAATTTTTCTCAGTATGGGACTTTTAGGGAGCTCCAAACCTATTGTGCCTCCGCTGTCCACAGTGGTGGCTAGGCTGATGTTTTCACAACTACCACATTTGTGCAAGTGGTTTTTAAGTCTTCTAAAAGCTGGGGCAAGGTAAAAAAACACCTCAAAGCTTACTGTTTTTACTGATATTCAGCTGTTTTTCTTGAATAAATGCTCCTTGGAATGTTGCAAGTCTCTGTTAATTTCTGGAGTACTGAAAAAGTTGATTTGGACAATTTTTACCAGTGTTTTTGTTGCTATTGTAGAGGAAGAAATTTTTAACGGTCCAGGGTGGGAGCTAAACAGTAGGTACGCATGGACATAAAGACAGAAACAGTAGACACTAGGGTCTCCAAAAGGGGGAAGGGAGCAAGACAGGGGCTGAAAAACTACTTACTGGGTACTACGTTCACTGTTTGGGTGATGAGTTCAATAAATGCTCAAACCCCAGCACTATGCAATCTATGTCACAATCCTGCACGTGTACCCCCTGGTTAAACCAACAAAAAAGATGAGATTGGAAAAAGCCATAGAAATGTAATATTTCCTGAAACTAGTGACCCAAGAGAACTTTGAGGAAAGATAAGCTAATTATATTATATTTTATACAAGTTATTTTTTATACATATTTTACAATATATTTATAAAATATATACATATATTTCAGTATAATTTATTACATTACCTGGATGTAATTATTTGACATAAATACAAACGTGGTTGTATTCCATATGGGATTCTCTTTGGAAGTTTAGATGCCTTAGGGATTTGTACTGAATAAAAAGGTGAGAAGGGTTCACTGGTGTCAGAAGTTCTCTTTTATTTTCTCTTTCACTTTGCTGTTTTAGGTGTACAGAGCCAATGGGCCGGATGGAGCCATTGGCAGAGGCCAGAGAATCCACCTGCAGTTGTGGGACACAGCAGGGCAGGAGAGGTATGAGATCTTCAGTTATGTGCTCCTTACCGAAGGAAAGGGAGAAATAGTTACATTCTTTAAACAGTGACCTGAGCAGGAAAAAACCAGCCAATTCATTGGTTTGTACTTGGATAAAGAATGCTGCCAAATTAGCAGGAAATTTGTCAGTCTGAGATGAGAATGGTGGCTTTATTTCATACAGGGTCAAAGGAGAGGTTAGGATTCTTACTTGGGGACTTTTTTCTTTTCCTTCTTTTAATTTTTTGACATAGACACTTTGCTCCATTTCCTTTTGCTGTTTACTCAACCACAAGAAAGTGGCCAAGTTATATGCGTTATTCTTACCTGATTGTTGAAACCTAGTGGGAAATCTGGTTGGAATTAATTCATATGACCAGAGAATACTTGGCCAAAATAAGCCACATCAAATCTTGATATAAAGTTCTTTCAGTTAGCTAAAACTTCTGTTTTCTCTCAAAACCACCTTGAAGGATTTGTTTTTTAACTTTTTATTATGGAAAACTTCAAGGATATTCAAAAGTGGAAGGATTATATGATAAACCCAGGTTCCCATTACTCAGCTTCAACAATTATGAAATTGTGACCAATAGAATTTCATTAATACCCCTTACCTCTTCTCACTCCCACCCCCTTGCCATATAATTTGGAAGCAAATTCCAGACATCATATTATTTCATTTGTAATACTTGTGGTATGTAGCTCTAAAAGATAAGAACTCTTTTTTTTTTTTTGAGGCAGAGTTTCGCTGTTGTTGCCCAGGCTGGAGTGCAATGGTGCGATCTCAGCTCACCACAACCTCTACCTCCCTGGTTAAGTGATTCTCCTGCCTCAGCCTCCCGAGTAGCTGGGATTACAGGTGTGCACCACCACACCCAGCTAATTTTGTATTTTTAGTAGAGACGGGGTTTCTCCACGTTGGTCAGGCTGGTCTCGAACTCCTGACTTCAGGGATCCGCCCGCCTTGGCCTCCCAAAGTGCTGGGATTATAGGCGTGAGCCATGGCCCCTGGCCAAGAACTGTTTTAAATAAAAACATTGATGAAAAGTATTTGAGAAAAACCTAATATTGCTGATTAGATGACAAATTCATACCAATATTTTCTTCCCTAGAGCCTGCCTGTCAGTTACAGATTTTACGTATAGGCAAAGACAGAGGAAACTGACTGGTGGTGGGGTGGGATTGGGGGTGGGGAGAGAGAGAGAGAAGACGGAGAAGACAGGAGGATAAAGCCTTGGAAGGCAGAGTACCAAGACAGAATAGGGTCTGAGTCAAGACATTCTTACCTTCAAGTCAAACAAAGGGCAATCAGAGATAAGAGATCTCTGCATATTCTGAAATTAAAAGATCATGGAACACATTGTAATGTTAAGTCAAGCTTTCACAGAAGGAAAACATACACTATTGCATTTGGCCAAATTAACTCATAATTGTACAATAAATTCTTGGCTGAGACTAAGATCACAAGCTGGTTCTTGTCATCCCTGTCCAGCAGGCTGTGTTTTCAAATCACATGGTCTGTTAACACTTAAACTGATAAAAGTGATAACTATCCTCTACACTTTTGAAATATCACCATGTAGCTTGTCATTGGTAAACTTTTGTAAGAGGCTGAAGGCATTGCTTGTAGCTTTATATTTCAGGAGTGGGGCGATGGTTTAACTTACCATTCTGCTTTTATGTTCCTAGGTTTCGTAGCTTAACAACAGCATTCTTCAGAGATGCTATGGGTTTTCTTCTACTTTTTGATCTGACAAACGAGCAAAGTTTCCTCAATGTCAGAAACTGGATAAGTAAGTGTTATTGTTCCCCAGTGTCCTGCTACACACTCCTCTCTTATTTATAGAATGCCCTCTTAAGCTCTACTTCTGTGATACATTGTTTTGGAGGAGATCTCAGTGCAAATACTATTTTAAGGAGCAAGGTTTTTAGTTTAGGGACAAAGATAATTGAAATACGCTGCTTCTCCCTGGTACTGATAACTGATTTGTTGAGTACTTCCTGTGCTCCAGGTACAAGGCAACACTTTATGTGTGCTCTCCTTTTCAGTCTATCCCACAGAACAGATTCTTTTTCCCATTTTATAGATGAGGAAGTAGAAGCCTAGAGAAGTTAAATCTCTAAGTATCTGCTTGTCTATTGTATGCTATCAATTCTTCTATCATCTCTGGGCATTACATGTATATTACATAGATGCAGATAGCTTTTGAAGACTTAATGGTTCATACCCCTGGCTTCATGTCTTTTCTGTGCTTAGAGTCCCCTTCTAGGTTTTAGGGTTAGAGCATCTTTCAGAAGGATTCTGCCATGGAAAACTCTACAACTGCATTGGTAAAAGTGGTCCCCAGTGCAATGTATGTCAACCTTTATTTTGGAGAGATTTTAACCTCCTAAATGGTTCGTAGCCATTTAGAATTCTGCCACTTGACTGCATAACAGCTTTCAAATGTATGTTTTCCTTATTTGGTCATATTAGTGTAACCCTAGAGAAGCTATTAGAGAAGCCTGTAATATTAAATTTTTAATGTCTAAATCTATGAAACACCGATTTAAAAAGACCTGATACTTAAAAATTACTTACTGTTTTGGGATTTTGAAAGGGTAATTGGCTGTAGTTTTGATAGTAGAAAACCTTATTTTAAAAATGAGTTTAAAAATAATTTAGTGCACTGTGGTTTTCACATACTTTGTGTCTGATCCTCACAATCACCCTGGGCAAAGATTCAGGTCAGTGTTGCGTCCTTATTTCAGGAGAAGGACATTGAGCCTTAAAAAGTAATAGACTTATCCAAAGATATGAAGCTTTGGCTGTCAGTTTAATGGACTTTTATGACCGTTCTCAGGTCAGTTGGCCACTAAGAGTTGAAGAGCTATTAATTACTTTAAATATGAGTTCCCCAAATATAATAATGCTTACTGGGACTTCACTTCGCTAGATGCCTGGCTGAGTTGCATACCTCATTATTTCCCTTGTAGCTGAATGACAGTGGCTACTTATGGTCCCTTACTCTCAGTCCATGCTCATCATCCCTCCTTTGCATCATCAGAACAAGTTGTGGGGCTTTTTAAAATCAACCATTTTACAAGGATCACTGGAGAGTGCTCATAGAATCTTAGCATCGAAAAATAGCCCACCTGTTTTTCACAGGTAGACACTAAAACTCTGAGACATTAGATAAATATTGCCTATCCTGGCTAACTAGTTGGATAAAGAACAAAATTATGTGAAAATATGTATACACATTGATGCATTTTGTTTTCCTTAGTAAAAGAATCCTTATTGCTCAATTAGATAAAGAACACTTATATGTATTGAGGATTTTATGTCTTTAATGGAAAGTATTCTGCACCCCCTACCATTTAAACAAAAAGGTATAATGTTCAGTGTCAGAAGTGGTAATATCAAATCTTAATTAGGAATAAACATTTGTTAATTATCTGTACTTTCAATTTTTCTTCTTCCTGTAAGCATTTTGACTATTACAAGGATCATTCATTTGTTATCTTTTTTTTTTTTTTTTTTTTTGAGAGGGAGTTTCTGCTCTTGTTTCCCAGGCTGGAGTGCAGTGGTGTGGTCTTGGCTCACTGCAACCTCCGCCTCCTGGGTTCAAGTGATTCTCCTGCCTCAGCCTCCCAAGTAGCTGGGATTACAGGCGGACACCAACACACCCAGCTAATTTTTGTATTTTTGTAGAGACTGGATTTCACCACGTTGGCCAGGCTAGTCTCCAACTCCTGACCTCAGGTGATCTGCCCGCCTCGGCATCCCAAAGTGCTGGGATTATAGGCGTGAGCCACAGTGCCCAGCCCATTTCTTATTTTTTAATTAAAATAATAGCTTAATACACACAAATACACACACGCACATGCGCGCACACACACACAACACACACACATAAAAATCAGTGGTGAGTGCCAGAACGCAGTGTTGCATTAAAGAAGTAGCTGACTCGTGGGCCCTGATTGGCCTGGGAGAGGAGAGCAGGTCTATATACCCTCCCCTTTTCCTTTGCTCCTTGCAGACCCTTCCCTCTCACTCAGTCTCTCCATGCCCTCCTGACAAGGGTGATACAAGTCTAAAGTAAGCCCCACTCAGTTGAGGAGACAGAACAGAGGCTCAGTCCTCTGGGCCTGGATTGAAATCTGAAAGGAATTTGGTAGTGTGGTAGTCACTGCCCTGTCTTCCTGGAGTTCAGAGGAGTAAGCAAGTCATTCCCGGAGTCACTCTTCATCCAGTGCTAGTGTGTTTCCTAAGGAAACTTTAAAGTAGCCTACATTTCTAAACTTTCTTCTGTAGACTCACGTAAGTGGTGCAAGAACCCAACAGTATGTATTTTACATATTTTTACCTCTTTATTTTTTATTCTCATTATTCTCTCTATCTGAAAAACCCTTTCCACACCTGCCCCCGTATTTTTTTTTTTTTTTTTGAGATGGAGTCTCGCTCTGTCGCCCAGGCTGGAGTGCAGTGGCCAGATCTCAGCTCACTGCAAGCTCCGCCTCCTGGGTTTATGCCATTCTCCTGCCTCAGCCTTCCAAGTAGCTGGGACTACAGGCGCCCGCCACCTCACCCGGCTAGTTTTTTGTATTTTTTAGTAGAGACGGGGTTTCACCATGTTAGCCAGGATGGTCTCGATCTCCTGACCTCATGATCCGCCCGTCTCAGCCTCCCAAAGTGCTGGGATTACAGGCTTGAGCCACCGTGCCCAGTCACCTGCCCCCATTTTTTAACCAACTGGAGTTCTGCTTATTCTTTAAAACCTAGCAAAGATGGCCTCTGTGAGATTTTCTGTGATAACCTTAATTGTGTTAGATTTTTTCCCTCTTCTTAACTCCTGTTACATTTTATACTGTTTATAGGATCCTTATCACGTCCAGTGCCAGATGGTAGTTATTTATGTAGGTGACTTTTTTCTTAGTGAAGTTTTTAAAATAACTGATTAATTCACTTTTTAGATAAGCACAATCTTAGTAGAAAAATTAGGAAAAATGAGACAAAAAGAAGAGATCACCAATAATCATGCTTCCTAGACTGCCCAAAATAAATACTGTTAACCAGAATTCCTGGTGATACTTACATGCTCTTCTAAATGCTTTAATATATTAACTTGGTAGTTCTCAAATGTGAATGTGCATCTCAGTCACCTGGCGGACTTTTTAAAACACAGATTTCTAGCCCCATTTCCAGCATTCCTGATTCAGTAGAGCTGGGGTGGGACCTGAGACTTGGCATGTCAACAAATTCTTAGGTTATGCTAAGGCTGGTGGCTCACAGTCTTTACCTGCAGAATTGCTGGATTAATTCATTTTAATCCTTACCTTGACTGTATAAAGTAAGTAGTATCATTATCACCATTTACAGATGGGGAAATTGAGGCAGTCAAATAGCTTCATCAGGGTCACACAGCTAGTAAATGGCAGAGCCAGGATTCAACCCTAGGTACACTGGATTCTGAGTCCTTGCCCATAGCCATCACACTGGGCATGGACCCTATAACACCTTATAAGGCATTAACAGAGCACAGAACCACTCTGGAGACCAGAAAGATAATGAGGTAACCATGAAGCAAGTCTTGAAGGAAGGTTGTGGTTAAGTATTCAACGATGTGGGAACAGCATGTGTAACAACCTGGAGGAAAGAAAGGGCATGGCTTTTCATGAAATGGTACACAGTTTAGTCTGTCCTCTGTAGGTCTTATTACCCCAGTTGCCCCATGAGGGCAAAGAACTGTTGTGAAATTCCACGCAGAGTATCAAGCCTGTGCTAATGCTCAGTAAACACCTACCTCCTTGACTTTCTCATGATAAGATATAATGAACACGACTTCATAATGAGGAACTAAAATGTCCACACTTTTCTGGTTAACCATGATGAAAAAATAAATTAGGCCATAAACTTTGAAGTATGACTTACTGTGAAAGTTTAGGCCTTAATTTTATTCTGGGGTTGATGAATAAGAAATGAGGTGTTATTTTCCTGCTTTGAAAGATTAAACTATTTAGCTTAGTGAAGCTCTTTGGTTTGAGTCAATTGCTTTTTATAATTGTGCCTATTTGCAGGTTTTCAGGTGAAATAAATGCTGTGGAAGAAGAATTACAGTCTTCTGCTTCCACTTGGTTTTTGGTGACAGAATAATTTACTGTTTATTCTGGGTCTTTTCTTCTCATTGAAGCCTGTATCTTGTTTGTTTTAAATGAATTGATTCTGCCCTAGGATAATAGAAACATGTGAAAAACGTTTTGGATAGAAATAGATTAGTTTGGAGAAAAACAATTCTTTTAGAAATGTCATTGCTATGGAGAAAAAGACACATAAAAACAGTTTTAAGATTAGCAATAAACCCTAGGAACTCCTCCAAGTTTCTTTTCAAATAGCCATCATAAAAAAGGGTGTTTTGTATGTGTGTGTGCACATGTGTGTGTGCACATGTAGGCCCTCACACTTGAGAGGTAGCACATTCTCTTATCAACTCTGATGTCAATAAACTGGGGTATGTGCTTAAGAATGGTTTTATATTTCTGCCCCAACTATTCAGCTTTACAGATAAGATTATTGATGCTTTGAAAGCATTATATCAATTCCCAATATCTATATATACATTACAGTCTTCAAAGCACTTTTGCGTGTTTTGTTCATTGATCAAACACTTACATTATTATTTACGTATATAATAAACTTTCCTATATTAATAGGCCAGCTACAGATGCATGCATATTGTGAAAACCCAGATATTGTGCTATGTGGAAACAAGAGTGATCTGGAGGACCAGAGAGCAGTGAAAGAAGAGGAAGCCGTAGCACTCGCAGAGAAATATGGGTGAGTATTTTTGTGGAGAAGTCTGGAGAAAGCATTTTCGATATAAACATTAGCAGGAGAATGGTAATGAAAAAGACAAAAGTGGGAAATTAAAGCAAAACCTCAGCCGTAGGCCTTGGGGCATGTTGAATGTTTCCTTTTTATATTATGTGATAGTAGGATCCTTTGAAAATGCATGTGGCGTGATGCCTCCAGCTTTGTTCTTTTGACTTAGGATTGTCTTGGAGATGCGGGCTCTTTTTTGGTTCCATATGAACTTTAAAGCTGACTTCAAACTATACTACAAGGCTACAGTAACCAAAACAGCATGGTACTGGTACCAAAACAGAGATATAGACCAATGGAACAGAACAGAGTCCTCAGAAATAATACCACACATCTACAGCCATCTGATCTTTGACAAACCTGAGAGAAACAAGAAATGGGGAAAGGATTCCCTATTTAATAAATGGTGCTGGGAAAATTGGCTAGCCATAAGTAGAAAGCTGAAACTGGATCCTTTCCTTACTCCTTATACGAAAATTAATTCAAGATGGATTAGAGACTTAAATGTTAGACCTAATACCATAAAAATCCTAGAGGAAAACCTAGGTAGTACCATTCAGGACATAGGCATGGGCAAAGACTTCATGTCTAAAACACCAAAAGCAACAGCAGCAAAAGCCAAAATTGACAAATGGGATCTCATTAAATTAAAGAGCTTCTGCACAGCAAAAGAAACTACCATCAGAGTGAACAGGCAACCTACAGAATGGGAGAAAATTTTTGCAATCTACTCATCTGACAAAGGGCTAATATCCAGAACCTACAAAGAACTCAAACAAATTTACAAGAAAAAAACAAACAACCCCATCAAAAAGTGGGCAAAGGATATGAACAGACATTTCTCAAAAGAAGACATTCATACAGCCAACAGACACATGAAAAAATGCTCATCATCACTGGCCATCAGAGAAATGCAAATCAAAACCACAATGAGATACCATCTCACACCAGTTAGAATGGCGATCATTAAAAAGTCAGGAAACAACAGGTGCTGGAGAGGAGGTGGAGAAATAGGAACACTTTTACACTGTTGGTGGGATTGTAAACTAGTTCAACCATTATGGAAAACAGTATGGCGATTCCTCAAGGATCTAGAACTAGATAGATGTACCATATGACCCAGCCATCCCATTACTGGGTATATACCCAAAGGATTATAAATTATGCTGCTATAAAGACACATGCACACGTATGTTTATTGCGGCACTATTCACAATAGCAAAGACTTGGAATCAACCCAAATGTCCATCAGTGACAGATTGGATTAAGAAAATGTGGCACATATACACCATGGAATACTATGCAGCCATCAAAAAGGATGAGTTTGCGTCCTTTGTAGGGACATGGATGCAGCTGGAAACCATCATTCTTAGCAAACTATCACAAGAACAGAAAAGCAAACACTGCATGTTCTCACTCATAGGTGGGAACTGAACAATAAGATCACTTGGACTCAGGAAGGGGAACATCACACACAGGGGCCTATCATGGGGAGGGGGGAGGGGGGAGGGATTGCATTGGGAGTTATACCTGATGTAAATGATGAGTTGATGGGTGCAGCACACCAACATGGCACAAGTATACATATGTAACAAACCTGCACGTTATGCACATGTACCCTACAACTTAAAGTATAATAATAATAAATAAATTAAAAAAAAAAAAAAAAAAAGAAAATGCATGTGGCAAGGGCTTCCTTCAGTGCTTTGGTCCCATTTTCTCAAGCTCTTGGCATTTGCAGAGAGACAACTTTGAGTTGTCTCAGAGACGCCTTAAGAGTGTAAGGTCTTCTTTCCAAGATGCAAATAGGAGACTCCTGGGGTAAAGAAATCCTCCATGTTAAGCAAGGAAATTTCATTTTTCTTTTCCTTTCTTTTCTTTTCTTTTTTTTTTGAGGCAGAGTCTCACTCTGTTGCCTAGGCTGGAGTGCAGTGGCATAATCTCAGCTCACTGCAACCTCTACCTCCCGGGTTCAAGCGATTCTCCTACCTCAGCCTCCAAAGTAGCTGGGACTATGGGAGTCCACCACCACACCTGGCTAATTTTTGTATTTTTAGTAGAGACGGGGTTTCACCATATTGGCCAGGCTGGTTTTGAACTCCTGACCTTGTAATCCACCTGCCTCAGCCTCCAAAAGTGCTGGGATTACAGGCATGAGCCACCACACCCAGCCTCAGCAAGGAAATTTCAAAGCCACTTTATATACTATTATAGAGAACGCTAGCATATAAGAAGATCTTATTGGTTATTGCAGACTAGGTGCTGGTTTTGAAATTTCTATGCTGGGAGAGGAGTGTGAGATCTCCTTCGGCTTAGTCTATGGTCTTGTGGTGGAGGGTTGGCAAAATACTGTCGTTCTCCTTGAGTTCTGGGAATAGGATCATAGCCGCAGCAGCAGCATGAATTGGACATGAAATAAGTGGTCAGCTGCTGCTTATTAAAGTATTAGTGTTAAGGGTGCCTCTAAAAGGAATTTGTACTTTACTTTCTTTCTACCTCTCATACAATGAGAACCCATATGTAAATTCAAACCCTTACTAGCATTAAAAGAGGAAGGAAGCAAGTGCGTTGAGAAGGGAGGGGAGGGAAATAGAGATGGTGTAGATGGCGTGGGGGATGTTACCCAGCTTGTGGCCTTGGTGGTTGGCAGAATCCAAGGAGGCCAAGGAAAAACCTTTCCCTTTTTATTGTGTGATCTTCTTTATTCTCTCTTTGGTTGATAGAGGTTCAGAAAGCTGGTAGGGTTTCTACTGCGAAGGGACGGGGAGGATAGGTTGGCCGGGCAGGAAGAAGCCAGACTCCAGAGAGGTTTAAATACCAGGTAAGGAGATTAGATTTGATCCCTGGGGGACAGGGAGTTGCTGAAAGCCTTTGAGCATGGAGGGATGTTATGTTTACATTTCCAGATCGGCCTAGAGGCTATATAGGTGGAGAGAGAGGAAAGACTAGAGATTGATAGATTGCAGTGGTCTGTGAGGTGGGCAGAGGCTAGCTTTGTGAAAAAGGAAAAGGAAGAATAAATCAGGAAAAACACATAGAGTAGGGCAGGATTTTAGGTTTTTTTCAAGTCTGGCTCAGCTGAAGGACTCCCCTCCACTATGGGCTTACTCTGGCAAGGATTTGCAATTGCATGTAGAGGTTTTTACCCCAGGGCAGACGGTGTTTAACCATGTTAGAAACATCCAGAGAACTTTTAACCCATGCTCATGTCTGGGCTTCACCTCTGATCATCAGACATAATTGGTCTGGAGGAGTTTCTCGGGCAGGGTTCAACTGAAGAAGCGTACCTATACATGAAGGGCTCTGTTACAGGAATTTGAGCATATGCAATTGTGGGAGCTGGGTAAGTAGTCTCTGTAAGGTGTTGTCTTTGTGTCTGATGCTGAAGTTTGAAGGACAGGACAGGCAGACAGGAAGGGAAGAAGAATGTAAAGTGGGGGATAGATGGAAAAAGTGAGAACCAGCTGGTGCCCATGGTGAGGGACTAAAACCGATGTCACTTCCTGTTGCCTCTGACCTGGCTGGTGTGGGTGTCCTGCAGAAACTGGGGCCCTTTGTCAGAGGGCTAACAACATTCACCTGGCCCAGGTGCAGGTCTAGTTGCAGGTTTATGCCAACAAGATGAGTCAGCAGATAAGCGACAATGTATGAGGGCTATGAAATGGATGTTGCTTCACTTCCCACCCCCAAAATTGCCCCCAAATCTCTTTTGTGGCCTACCCTAACCAGAAAGGGAATTCTGGGAAATGTTGTTTAGCCTAGCCAAATTGACTTATTACAAAGCCTGGGCATTGGTATCTTTTAAAAGCTCCCCACGTGATCTTCATGTGCAATGGTTGAGAACCCGTGACTTAGGTGATTCTGAGGTGGAGGTTGACAGAGCCTTACCGGCCGTTCTGAAATGCCCCCCTGCTCCCCTGAGAGGCACTCATGTAATGCAGTAGAAAAGAAACAGGGAGAGATCAAATACCACAGAGAATACTGAAGTGTTGAAGCTGTGAGGTGTGTTGCAATGGGTAAGGAGGAAGTAAGTGATGAAGCAATGGAAACCATGGATCTAGAGCATTCTTTTGAGAGTATGTCAGTAAATGCAAAAAAAAAAAAAAAAAAAAAAAAAAAAAAAAAGGAAAAAGGCAGTTAGAGGAGTTAACTAGATCAAACAAGCGCATTCAAGTATATTCTCAAGTACTGGGGGAGGGTCAGGCTTGACTTCTTGTCCCTGTGGGCTTTTTCAGCCCTTTGCTTGTTTCCTGTGCCTGGTTCTTAGGATCCCACAGCCTGTCTGGTATCACAGAACCTAACCTTGCCTTCTGTCATATGGGGTATGTGAGGGATGACCTGTGCCCAGGTCACCATGGTTATGGAGTATTTCATAGAGAGAAGCTCAATCTATAGTTTTTGAATTGGATTAAAATGAGAAAAGGTGATTTAGCAGATAATGATTGAAACTCTTGAAGAAAGAAAAGGGCTGGAAACAGAGTCCCTTAGGATATACAGAAAGCATAACATGTAGTTTGGTAGGCTGTTTGACATTTTCAGAGGAAAATACGATGGAACAATTTGGTTCACATGCATTTCACAAATATGGCATATAACTTTGAAACAAAACACCTGTGAAAATAATTATTATTCTTACAACATTTACATTGGTTGCACATGCACTAAAGGACTATGTTGTTCAGTTCAACCATGTGCTAACAGTCAGAAAACAGGATAAAGTTTATGGCATGTCTTCATATAATTTGTATGTTGTTTGATAAATTTATATTATATTTTGTTACTATTTTGCTGTCTTCTATTCTCAATTCATAAAAACAGATCATTGGGGCCAGGTGTGGTGGCTCACGTCTGCAATGCCAGCACTTTGTGAGGCCAAGGCAGGTGGATCACCTGAGTTCAGGAGTTCTAGACCAGCCTGGCTAACATGGTGAAATCCCATCTCTACTAAAAATACA